TCAGAAAAAAAAATCACTTAACATAAGAAGTGCTGCCTAATAGAAAAGCAATACGATACAAGTACGATATATCACTGAAAATAAAAATAAGTACGCTTTAATGATACTAGAATGGAAAGGAATGCCAGCATGATTCTGAGATAAATGAAAATGAAATGCTACACACAATAATGAAATGTTGCACATTAACTCAAAGTATTACACATGAAATTAAAATACTGCCCATTACACTGACATGTCGCAGCAGAAAAAAGAAATATTCCACATTAAATTGAATCATTGCACATGAAAACGTCATGTAACGCATGATAATAAAATATTGCACATTCAATTGAGATATAATGCATTAAAACTGAAACACTGCACCAGAAAAATAAATATGTTATTGCACATTAAAATGAAATGCCAAGCATGAGAATAAAATATTGTACATTAAATTAAAATGTAAGTATTGCAACAGAAAAATGAAATATTACACATGATACTGTAACTGACTGGAATCTAACTAGTGAGAAAAGTAATATTGCAAAAGATATAGATAGATAGATAGATAGATAGATAGATAGATAGATAGATAGATAGATAGATAGATAGATAGATAGATAGATAGATAGATAGATAGATAGATAGATANGATAGATAGATAGATAGATAGATAGATAGATAGATAGATAGATAGATAGATAGATAGATAGATAGATAGATAGATAGATAGATAGATAGATAGATTGATTGATTGATTGATTGATCAGGTTTCGGTGTCATTCAGTGACACAGTTTGACTGAACTGAATTATCTTCCTACTACAGATTGCAAATAAAAAAACTGACAACAAAACACAAACACACGACGGCAGTAATAGAAAATAAGAAGTTCACACCTTTGCGCACACGATATGATATAATGTGGTGTGTGTTTGTGGTATTTGACACCAAACTTCTCACCTAATGTGATTATTTAAAAGCAGCTGCTGGATTCACATCCACAGGAAACAAACACTCCCACCGGATCCTCTCATTAATGTCACACCGTTCAGCTTCACTCCAAACTGTGAAGTAACAGCTCTGTATTTTTACCTCCCACGTTCTTCTGAGCTCAGATGTTGGTAAACGCAGCGAATAAAGCACAAAGGCATCACTTTTTTATTCACCTAAACTGTACTGAGAAACACTGAACCAGAAAATTTAAAAAAAACTTTTCCTACATGTTTTTGAAATTTTCATCCGGGGGTGTAGATTTCATTTGAACACCGGCGGAGACTCATAAAGCATCAGGTCTGGAGATTCTCCTTCCTTTTTTTCCTGCACTCTGGTGAATCTTTATGCACCAATTTATGTAATTTCTGCATCAGGTAATGGTTGAAATGTCTTTATTTAAGACATATTTGTATAATATTTACAAAGTTCAGGCCTCACGCTGTAAAAAATTAAACAAAATCTAAAGATCCCCCAAAAAATAATAAAAGTCTGGCTGCAGAGGTGTATTTTTTTTTAGCAGAATTAACAGTTAAAACTGTAATTTTACAGAAAAAAACAATAAATTGTGATTTGTAAAAATACATTTTTTGATGGGGATATTATTTACAGTTTTTTTCTTTTTTTAACAGTAATTTTACTTGTTATCTACAATTCCTCTATAAAACAACAGTTTAAATTATTTAGTTGTTAATATGCTGAATTTTCTTCCAAACTACAGCAAGTATTGGTAAAACAGTCCATGTTTTTGCTGCTTTAAATACAATAAAATGAATTTAAAAGAATTTAAACATCCATTTGTAAGTAAATCTGTGCTTACAAATGGATATTTGTTCTTATATGTGGATGTTATTTACAGTTTTCTGTTTGTTTTTTAAAGTGACTTTACTAGTTATCATCTATGATTTAACAAACCAAGAAAAAAAATCTGTAAAATAAAAAAATACACTTTTTTCAGTCATTAATATTTATATTTTTTCTTTGAAATAACGGCAAATATCTGTAAAATAATTGCTTTTTGGGGGCTGATTTAAAGACAGTAAAAGACGGAATTTTACTGGCAAATGTTGTAAAACAGCAAATTACTATTTGTAAAAACACAGATTATGTTGTGGACGTTATTTTTTTTACAGTTTTGGCCTGTTTTTATATGTTTAACATGTAAATTAATACATTTTTCTGTCACTTTACCAGCTATTATCTGTAATTTCACAAAACAGGGAAAATGTGGACAACAATCCTTTTTACAGTGCAGGTGTCAAATCAGAATATAAGATATTTATGTGTGTTTTCCACATCAGATTGCCTGTAAACTCTGCTTTCACGCTGCAGCTCTGTCGACCACCGGCTCTCGTGGGAACATGAAAGCTCGATTTACAGTTAAGAAAACAAACAGAGTAGCTTCTGAAACTCTGCCCAGAAAAAGAAAAGGACAAGTTAAGAAAGTTTGACAAATGCAACCGGATTGGAGTCGATGTGGCCTCAGCCATGTCGGGATCAGCAAGGTTTTCCCATCATTGGAGCATGGACGTCACAAAGTGCGCAACAGTGGCTTTACGCGAAGCACCAAGTGAAGCAAGTCAGTGAATGAACTGAAACACATCACGCTGCAACTTTTTTTGGCTGGTTGAACACAGAGCACAGTTCTAATTTTCCATGACTAATCGACAGGAGAATCTGTCTGACAGAACATAAATGACTTCCATTTAAGGGTTCCTGGACACACTGGGTTTATTTTAGACATGTGTTGACATTCAGGCTCCACATGTGCAGCAGCAGCAGTAACAGGAGAGAAGCTCTGAAGGACGGTTAGGTTGCAAAAGAGTCACAATATCAGCTCTGTGGAAATGTTTCCGCTGCTGGGAGTCTGTTGTTGCCCAAAAACAGGTTCTCCGTCTGCAGCGTCATGCAGCTGTTGAAACCACATGATGCAACACGACCAATTTGTTTCACCATTTAAGTCTGAAGCACGAAGCTCAGTTTGTCAAGTGCAAAGTCACATCTGAGTGAATCTGAATCAAAAAACTATGTAGGATGCTTCGTCAGAGCTACACCACGTCGAAGAAATGACGTTTTACAGCTTTTCAAAATGTATTTTTAGTTTTTTTTTATGCAAATGCACGCCACAAAAAATTACTCTTTCAAAGTGTTGTTATGAAAGTATATCTGGTAAATTTGTATGTTTTCTTAAATTTGTGTGACAGTAGATGTCACAGAAAAAACTAAATATCACAATATCAGTTTTTAAAAATATATACAGTTACAGTTTTCATTTTACAAATACACACAAATTAGACCTGGTGTTTGTTTTTTTTGTAGAAAAAAGTCTATATGTGAAGGGCCAGTGTGTGGCATTAAGGAGGATCTATTATCAGAGATTAAATATCGTGCTCATAATGATGTTTTTGTTGGCGTATCATGATCTGTAACGCCTGGATGAAAAATATTCTGTTTGTTAATTTTTGAGAAAAAGAAAATATGTGAAAAATTTAAAAATAAATCATGACTATAGCTAAATACAGAAGACAGTAAGAGCATGTAAGTTGGTTTATGTTGCACAGACTGAGCAGGGAGGTGTAAAGTCTTTGCTCCGTCCGACTGTGTGATGCACTTTTTGAACTTCAAGCAACAAAAAATAGTGCAACACATAGGCAGGAAAATACACAAAAACTTATAAAAAGAACAGGCAAATACATGCAAAATGATTCTATTGTGTGTATATTTAAATACAGCATCATTTTTCTATCACGTGTTGTAAAATATTAAAGCACCTTTTCTATATTTTTCAAAGCACCTTTTACCGACTGTAGGAGAATTCTGCACTTTTTTAAGCACATTTTTTTCTGAAGCCATAATGACAACAAGGTTTTGTTGAGACTTTACACACATTTGAAGCAGTTTTTGAAGCAACACGAGGAGATGAAACGAGACTCGACTGTCTTCCTGTTCAGATAAATTAAAGATTTATACAGAAAAATATAGATTTATTTATGAAGGAGGACTTTATTTACAGAACTGCCCTGTTTATTTAGGGGAAATGAATGCTTCATTATCATTATAATTATAATTATCATCTGTAGTTTGACAAAATAGGGAAATTCTGTGTAACAGCAGCAAATTGCTCCAAACAAATTGCAGTTCAAAACTTTATTTTTTTAATGTATGTCAGGTAGAAATCTAAACACTGTTGAACTATATGAAGTCTCTGATGTCTTGAGATTCTTCTGGGTTTAAATCTTATTTTTTCTTGTGCAACCTGCAGATTATTTTCCATCTGGAGGTTTATAACAGTAAAGAGCAGTTCATCAATCTGAGGCAGGAGGACTCAGGGATAGAAATCCTGTCTGCGGCCCTGAACTGAGCGTCTTTTCTGTACAAATACAACATAATACTCATAAATAAAAAAAGCGCTGCTCACCTATAGTCGTGATCACAGTGATGGCGAAGTAGAAGGAGCCCGCGAACTTCCACTGGACACCGGCTTTGTGCGGTTTGAGCTGCAGGACGACGTGCTCCAGCTCCTCGAAGTTCTCTTTGGTCAAGTTGTATTTGCGCATGAGTTCGTACTTTCTGGCGTCGAGCTTCCTCTTGTGGCTCTTCTCCTGCTTGGACTCCAGCGTCTCGAACACGGCGGCTCCGACCACCAGGTAGGTGAGGATGCTGACGATCAGGACCAGAGTCCGGGCGTTTTGCCTCTTCATGGTAACACGGAGCGGAGCGATGGAAGCTGCGGCTCTCTGCGACCTTCTGCTGACGGACTCTGGAGACGGAGCTGCTCTCTCAGCACCACCCCCACATCACAGTTGGGTTGCTACTGTATTTGGACTATTTGTCACCGACTTATATTTAGATTCCGCAGAAAAAAGAAAAAAAAAAAAAAGGAACGCACACAGGGTAAATCCCACAGACCGTCCTGGAGCTCAAATCAAGCGCTCACCTTTGGAGAGTTTTTACGCATAGAGGGGCCAAAATTGTTGCGCACAGGTCGAGTTCAGCCTCCAAACGCTTACAAATATGACTCGTTTCATGTGTTCATTCAAGTACAATATTTACCCGGCTGCTATTTAAACAGACTAGCTCTACTGGCTTCACAAGTTGTCTAGCAACCCAATGATAACCATACTTCCCATGTGCAAATATTTAAAAGAGGCACATCCTTTGCGCGCCGAGCTGCAGGGCTGCAAGCTTCCCAAATGCAAACCTTAATCCAACAAGAGCAAATTGACTTCCAAAATGCTCCCCCCGGAAAAAAAAGAGCCTTTATTATGAAACAGCTTTCAAGAAGATGTATGTTGTTTGGATTATGACGAACTTGGGTCTCAGCCCAGAAGTCTGTAGATTTGAACCTCATAATTGCATCATTTGTAAGTTATTTCAGATAAAGTTATTTGAAAATCTGCTCTCTGCGCAGTAAGATCATCCCGCTTTCTCTCTATGCTCAGCCCATTAATATCACAGTGAGTGCAGCCAAGCTGGACCAGTCAGACTGTGTGCTTTGGATTTAATATGTGATGATTTACAGCTACAGTGAACATAAAATCATGTTCAATATAATTTGACTTTTTTTTTGACAAGAATGTACCAATAAAGACTCCTTCATGTCAAAGTGACAACATTTTTTCTACAAAGTGCAGTAAATTAATTAAAAATATATCCCGTGACACATTTATTCAACACATGTGCGGCCAGTTGGTGCTAGAATTCACACAACTGGTGAAATGGAGATCGTCTGAGTGCAGAAAATGTGTCTCAGTGATTGTAACGTAAAGGTACCTGTATCTGGAAGGTTCAAGTATGAGTCAAGGGATCAATACAAGAAAATGTCCAAGTCACTGAATATCCCTTGGAGTACAGTTAAATGCA